TTACCTATGGTGAAAACTCAAATGAGGTGTTGTCCTCCATCCCTCTTCCATTTTGTTCCCAAGTCTGTAAATATTTTAAGTCTTTTACAAATCCACTGGTAAGATTTTAGCAAAAGATATCCTCAGTTAATAGAAATTTTTAAATGTTACAATGAAGGACCCAGTCAATTTCTAGAGATAGATCATCCGGAAAAGACCAAAATAATGTCGGCTATTTAAAACTCATCGAATTGAATTGAACATATTCCATCAATCTGACAACGTCAAAAGGATTGGACACTCTTTAGCAAGAACCTTACCCGAAAAATAATAAATATATTAGTTTCCTTGGGTAGCGTAAATGATAAATTATTAAATCAAAATCTTTTATTTAGAAAAAAAAAAATCATAAAAGTTATAACTTTGTGGAAGCTTTCGTAGCTACTATGGATTACTTAAATGGCTTTTTAGCTAGTATTGAATTCATATCGCTCCAATCAAGTCCCTAATCTTCTCTACATGCATAAAAGTATATAAAAAGAGATATTTCTTTTTTTTTTTTTTAAAAATCACATAAGAGAGCCTGCACATGAAATGATGAAACCTTCGTAGAAGCTTTTTGACAAAGGTTGATAATGATTTTAAATTGTTGAAATCATGACTAACGAGACAAGGGGCTTGGAAATAATAGAGAATCAAATTTTATAAATAAATACATTGTTGAATCTTAATGATAGCATAGCAAGATTTTGTATACTTGAAGCAACTTCAGTGTATATTCAGTGTATATTCATATTTTTTTTTTCAAATCCTGCTCATTAAGAGATAGGATTGGGCAACAATAGAAATAAAAGTTATTGCCCTTGCTGAGTAGTAAGCACGACAGTTCAATATTAGTATAATATTTGTTTAATGTATCTCGTATAGTTGTGTGGTGATGGGCCATTGTAAGAGTTGGAAAATTCATTTATGAGAACAGTACGAATTGATAACAATTAAGGAAAACGGACAACTATCTTTCCTACTTTATAATAATTATCGGGTTTTATCGACGAAAAACCCATGTATCATTTAAAAAAAACTTTCCAAATATGACGCATTTTGGCTTCCATAACTGAAGCAACACATGATATGAATCCTGCATTTAAAACGAAAGTGAAGTGAACATTTTCCATTGAGATCGTACATTATAACAAATCAGGTAAAGCCGGGGTTAAGGGGGATGTACGGCCAACTTTAGTGCTGTAGGAACAGAATGTAAACATTTCTTTAAATGGCTAAAATACATCATATTTGGATCAAATTTTAAGTCCTTATGATAAAGATACAATAAATATTCATAACTGAATGCATGTTGTGCATATATAATCTATACTTTTGCAGAAAAATGCTTTTGATATGCTCCTTAGAAGTGCGCAGCTACAGAATTCAGCAGAACCTTAAAAAATCCAAAAAAATATGCAAACTGTGCATCAATGTTCTCTCTACAATCATTTGTTGAGAAAATGTCTAAATTTTGCACTTTTAAATGATAATTTCAAGTTCAAAACAAGGTATCGTTGTCTTCAAAAAGAATGTAAAGAACCATGAAAGTAGTTCATGGGTAGCAGCACGTGGTCTATTTTTAGCACAGAATTTTGTTTTCCAGTCCTCTTCTTAATATGGAGGGACATAACAATCTTTAAATGTATAAGAGAATTACAGTTGCAAAATATTTCAAATAGTATGAACACTTTTAAAAAAGGAAATGTGTTATAGTATGGCTTGAAGTAATTTATTTAGTATTATTATCGAACAGTTGTTAAATAATGTACTTATTGATATCAAAGAAAAAAATCTTAAACTCTTTGATTCCAGGTAAGGAAAAATGAGCACCATCAAAGTTAAGAAGTTTGCCACAGATAACTTATAATATATATCAAAATTTTAATTATCACCAATGAAACACAAAGAATTTAAACACATAAATTCGATATGAATGACCTTGATTTAGTACCTACTAGTACGAGGGGTGATCACAAAGTTCGCGAACTATCTCTATATCTACAAAACCATAATTCAGATTAGAAACAAATTTGGTGCACAAATAGCCAAACACAAGAAACACATAAAATAACTTATGCTGAATAAAGTTTTGCTCATAATGACGTCATTATGCAGGTACTTGTGACGATAAATGGTTGCCTCAGTGGAACTCGTTTAACAAACGTCTAAAATATTTCTGGTATATCTTAAAAATGCCTTTGAAGTAGCATATAAGAATTTGTTCATAGTTTATTAAGACAAATGGCTTCCTACAAATTCAATCAATGATTGGATAGATCGTTTTAGTGAAGGAAGGCAGTTGGTTAAATATGATACTTGTTATATTGCCGAGTGATATATTAGCAAGTTTGAAAAGGGATATGTGTTTTTAATTAAGCAATATGCTATCAAAGACCTCCAATTTACACTTTGAAAATCAAAGACCTCAAATTTACACTTTGAAAAATACTTGAATATTTCAACAATATAATATACTGTAAATGTATTATATTTGGCGTGTACGATATTTGGCGGAAAATTGAATTATCAACAAGTTGGCGTAGATTTAATTTAGCACTTTTTGAATGTGCGTTACATTAACCTTTATACACAAAGCATTTAGCGATACTTGATTTAGCGGAGGCTGCTTTCCGCGAAAGGCGCTAAAAAGAATACACAGCCACATGTAATACTTTTACAGTAACTATCAAATACCTAAGATATATCGTTTACTTTTTGATCTACCCTCGTATACTCTGTCAAATAAACATTTACAATTTTGATTTTAGCGGAGCAACATTTTAAAAGGAATGAAATCATTCAGAGTGAGTTAGGAGATTTAATGAATAAAAAAAAACTTTTTTCTATTTGCCCTTTTTGTCAAAATTACAATTTTACAGAGTAAAGAAAAAAAAAATCAACATTAATAAATATTTTATACCATCTTTAAAATGACGTTTGGTGGTCCTCCCAACTCAGGGAAAAATTATTGGGTCCGAATTTATAGGTGAGGAAAAAATTCCTAAAATTTTAAACATATTCGTTGACGGAAGAAAAAAAAACATATAACGGGATGTAAAAAAAAATTGAGTCGGGCCATTTCTAGGCAGTAGACCGGGAGAGAGGGCAACCAAATATTTTTATAGCAAATTGTCTTATAAGGCTAGTACATGTTCCATCATATACTTAGTGATTCAAAATTTTTTAATCTTTGGCACTATTTTGAAAAACAAACATAGGATTTTTTTTTTGGGGGGGGGGGGAATAGCCTCTCATTTTTTTTTGCGTGATAGACATAGCATATGCAATGGACTTTTCTTTGCAAACATTGTGCTTGCTTCTAAATTTCAAAGAAACAGGTCAATATATTTTATCAAGCTTCGAATGTTCATTGAGCGAGAGCTAACAATGTTGTCAACATAATGAGACATGATGCGTTTTTATGTCCAAACATTACTCCATACAATGTGTGGTTCATTGCAAACAATCTAGCTGTTTATGTGAGGTGCCTGAAGGAAATCCTATAACTGCCTATTTTTTCTATCTAACTGCTAAACAAAATAGACACATGTACCTACTTTTCGAATGTCAGACATGTAATTACAATTTGTTTTTCATGCACCGCATATTGTTTAACATTTTCAAATTAAATGCTAAGCATCCTCCTTGCAGTGCCCATTTGAAAATAACTTCTATCGCCACAGAAAAAAGACCCGCCGTAATCACATATGTTTAGGACATGTTTTATCTTTTTTCTTGAGTTTTAAAGAAACCAACAAATCATCAAGACTTGTTCCATGAAAAATTAAATATACTCATGGTAATAAACGTTTATATCCACAGCAGATATATGCACATGCCAACCACGTGCTCAGTGTAATGATATTATCTTATCAGACTAGATCCAATATGGCTTGTACATCCCCCTTAACTTGGTCTGATAAAATATTTTAAACGACTTTAAGACTTTTTTTGTATGATTTTTTTAAACATAATTCTTGAATCAATACAACAAATTTTCTTTTCCTTATTGTCCATCTCCGAATGCATTGATAATAAGGCGACCCTAACCAAACTTTATGTAAATGTTTCTTACATAAAGTAAAATACAGTTTTTGTTTTCAATTTTATATGGTAAAAGAAAATCTTTACTCGGCACGTTGCCAATTGCAGTGGTAGAAAAAACATGCATTATGTGTAAAAATATTATTTACATGGTTTCAAGCCCTTAATTATTTAAGCTAAGGTAATTTTCTATAAGGCACACTATATGTGTAAAATGACATTCACATGTATTTAAAAAAAGGCTGGCATTAATGTCCATAAGTAAGTTAACAAAAGGTCTTGCTGACTTCTTTTACAACCAACCTCGGTAGACATCATGAATTATCGAAATGTCCAAAAATGAAAATAATTTTTGGTCTTTTCAATTTTAGAGTGAATGTATGGAATACCAATAGAAGTTGAATTGAAAATAATTCAAATAATCTTTACCTGAAAATATATAATGTAAATATGAGTAGTTAACGTATTTTCACTGTTTTACCTTATATTTAAAAGATATTTCAATTTTGTGCCAATTTTGAGCTAAAAAATGTTATGAAATATCCTTTTTGATCTGAGGTTTCAAGATTTAATAATGCAATTGTTTTGCAAAATTTAAATGAAACCATTTATGAATGTATTATTTTCTTAATTTGACGATTTTTTTGAAAATAGGTAAACAAGGCAATGCAAGCCCAAGTTCTGTCTGCCACTGTAAGTCGAGTGAATATAAAGAGAACGATAAATTATTGTCAGAGGTATATAACTGATCTCAAATATGCAAATAATGGAAGGGTGTGTGTTTCAGTTGTAAACTCCAAAGAGAACAACCCATCTTGTGAGTTTAGAGATCGCTCGAATTATATTTAATGTTTCTCTACTCATGGAGCCTGTTTATGCTATATCAATATTGCATATTACGAAAAATTCATATATTCGGATAACAGATCATTAATGATTCGTAACATTGGGTACGGAGCTACAAATCCATTTTTGACTTTGGGAAATGAACAATTGAATGGATACATCCCAAATGGAATAGCATTGTGTAAATCGGGATCCCTGTTAGTTTGTATGTGGAACCATCAGGTGCATGATCGTTCTCTTGGTAAAGTACTCAAGTTATCTTTACAGGGAGATAAACGTTTTGAAATAGAAACCAACAAAAACAGGCCCCTCTTTATTTGCCCAACCTATATAACAGAAAACGGAAATGGAGACATCTGCGTTTCTGACGTGAACGCCGTGGTCGTTACAGACGCCGGGGGCTTTCTGAGATTCCGATACACAGGAACAAAAAGTGACCCTCAGTTTGATCCTTACGGCATCTGTTGTGATTCCAAGAATAATATCATTGTAGCGGACATGGTGAAAAACAGAATTCACATGACTGACCAGAACGGCGAGCTGCTTCACTTCATTCAGTATGTAGATATGCACATGCCACGTGCTCTCTGTATAGACGAGGATGATAATCTGTATGTCGGAGAATGGTCGTCTGAAGAAATCAAAGTCCTCTCACTTCAATGGTCTTGAATAATGTTATCCACCGCAAAAATGAACTGTGATTTTTAAAAACATTTTTATCATGACATCTGATTGGTTGAGTGATTATATCTGATTTGTTATATTACATTTTGTTATAAGTCATTTCAATTATTATACAATTTGTGTTTATAAATTTTACAATATTTTTTGTAGATAATTGTATAAATTAAGACGATGGAAGCGTGAATCCGTGTGTCATTAATCCAATATGTTTTAGTGAAAGTGCATAATTATTTTACTATAAAATATTCAATTAATTTCTGTCAATTTTATTTTTTGCTTGGACCATTTGACGACTTCACTACATGTATACAGTTATAATCGTTAATATCAGTTTTGCTGCTGTTCTAATGGTACCTTTTTTCAATCAGTGATTAAAATCTTTCTTGAATCACGTGATATATCATTTTGCAAAGTTCACATTTTCTTTGAAATATAAAATAAACACAAATCTTCATCTTTATATTTAGTGATGCAAGTAATTTTCAGTAATTTTCAGTAATTTTTAGTAATTTTCACTAATTTTTAGTAATTTTCACTAATTTTTAGTAATTTTCCAATTTTTGCACGAATATCTTTAGTTATGATGTTCATTATAATGCCTATGGAGAAGTTTATATACTAGTTCTTAACTATGAAGCAAAGACAAACTTTTGAATTGTATATGTTTTTGGCAAGTAAGATAATAAAATCAACATATGGAGCTCTCTCTTTCTTTCAACAATCATTATTTTTTTATTTCATTATTTTATGCATCTAAAGTCTTTCAAAGAGATTCATTGATTATATTTTACTGCATCAATATTGACCCTTTGTGCATGTAATATAAAGAACAAGAAAAAAATAAAATCACTTATTAGGAAATTTATGATATGGAAAAATGTTCTTAAGTAAGCGATTTGTTATTTAATGCACATGGATATTCAGTGCTTTTCTGGAAGAATTACTTTGATGTGGCCACACAAGGTTGCATCATTTATGTAGAAATAAAAATAAGAGTTTTTGAAAAATGTATGAATAAGAGGAGGAGGACAAAGGTATCCTTTGATTTTTCTGGGGGGGGGATTCAGCATACTCGTAATAGGCTAAAAAAACTAAACTGGACCAAATAATAATAATTTGCTGTTAGAACTGTTAGATTACATGTATACATGTACGCTTTTTGTAGCTCACTCCAGGTATTATTTGTTCTATTTTATGCATCCTAACACTTAGAGAATCACATTCTGTTTAAGTATATATTTCAATTCTTTGTCTGATTCTTTATTTAAATGTAGTTTTAAAATTTCTATAAAGCCATATATGCCCCAAAATATCAGCTTAAGAAAATCTGCATTCTATTCTTCCATACCGGGTTTTCTTGGAGTAGCAATACTTGAATTGCAATATAGAAAAATGATTAATTACATGAAGAAGATTTCATGCGTTTATTTTCCATCTTTTTATTGAATCATTTGATTGTGTTATTTATGCTTTAACTTTCTGTGTATGGTCGTAATTCATATTGTTTGATAAATGACAAAAAATATCTTTGAGAAAAAGAATTCTTTTCCATACCGTCAATTTATCTTTATAAAGATCACCAGGAAAAGTTTTCTTCTTCTTATGAGATAAACTAAAACTATCGATGTTATTCACATTAAACGTACAACTTTAATGACCAACGTATTGACGTAGATTTAAAATTAATGAATGTAATCTTTAAAGAAATGCATATATTTATATTGTAGGTCATATCTTTAAATTACATTTACAAAATAATAAAACAGTTCCCTTGGTTAAACGATGATACATGATTTATTATCATACCTTATTCTAATATTTGTAAGTTATTTTTTTAATGCGTTTATTTATTTTCGTGACTATTTTCCACTACCACCACCTTATTCAAGCCGACAATCGAAGACATTTTGGCAGGAAAAAAATGTTATTTCGAAAAAAATATTAAAAGACGCCCTTCTTTTTCGCAGATATACGACTTTTTAGAGGTGCATTCTCGATCATCCCACTGTCCTGTACTCAGCATTAAAACAAATTCCTAGTTGAAAAAGTTATTCGGTTCATATAGGTTGCCCGTTTTTATAACTCATCTCGAGGTTGCCTCGACTCCAGGTAAATACTCCCTCTGTATCTATATCATCAGCTCCGACCCACACAGCACATGGATAAATTTTATCACAGCCACCTACATGTAGAAATTAAAAGCGGTATAAAATAAATGTTGTATATTGCAAGCTTAAGCTTAGAATTTATCATTTTCAAAATATGATGCACGTTTCACAATATACACTGAATTGCAATATGCTATTTCCGAAAGAACATGTACAATGTATTTTATTGCAGACGCAAAGATATGATGTATGATTCACAAGAAATATATCACAATATGGCATTTTCAAAATTACATTGCAGACACAATGATATTATTCAGGGAAAGATTTATATAATGATAAATAAGTTATCATGCATTACTGTAATATTTAATAGTTATTTCCCTAAATTCATTTATTTATTTTCATGACTTTTTTCTGCTAATACCTTACTCCAGTCTACAATCAAAGACATTTTGGTAGAAAAATTTGTAAATGAAGGAAAAAAATTAAAGAGACTATTCTTTTTCACAAATAAACGGAAAATTAGTGCTACATCCCCCATCATCCCACTGCCCCGTATTGAGCATTACAACGCAGTCCTGGTTAAAAAGGTTTTTCGGTTCATAGGGTTGCCCGTTTTTATCGTGAGGTTGCCTCAACTCTAGGTAAATACTCCCTCTGTATCTATATCATCAGCTCCGACTCACACAGCACATGGATAACTTAAAGTACAGCCAACTATATGTGGAAATCCGAAAAAAAAAAATCTAGAAGGCAAATGATACACATTACAAGCCTAAGCTTTATAATTTTCAAAAAAGTTGTATGCTTTACGTGTAATATATTGTCGAATATAAACATTTTCATGATAACATATTCCATTGCAGAGACAACTGTATTTTTCATGGACTCAAGCATTTGAATACTCAGAGTATATTAATGAATTTGTGTTATTAAAGAAAAGGAACCGTATACCATAAGTAACATTGGTAATGTAATACATTTCACATCAACATAATATTAATGGAATTGTGTTATATAAATCGTGTTAAGAAAGAAATAACTTTTATTTTTAAAATAAATAGATTTAAGCAAATTCAAAAAATAATGGTCTCCAAATTTCGGGGTCATTGTGGGTAAGATTTTTAAAGCATATCGTTGAGTCAAATATGAACGCCCTTTCATTTGTCATTTAGAAGTTATTACCGAAGATTCTTTTTCAATTAGGTCAATCATCGAGATCAAGATCAAGACATCAGAAATCATATCATGCTCTGAAAGATCTTGTAACAGGTATTGAACATTTCAAATATGAAAACCCTATCCTTTCTGAATAAAATAAATCCCTTTGTATTTAGAAAGGTCATGTCACTAGCAATATAAGAGCCCTATACTTTCTCTTACAATTGATTGATTGAGTGTATATTGTTTAACGTTTTTCATATGGAGACGTCACCGTTTGCCGGTGAAGGGCTTCATATTTTGACATTTACATGGCACTCAGGGCCATGGAGCAGTGAGGGATCTTTATCGTGTAATCGCCTGTCGCTGACACGGACACTCGGTTTTTTAAGGTCTCATTCTCATCCGAAGGACCTGCAACTTTCATTTCAAAGTGCCGCGCGCATGGCGAAGGAACAGTTACTACCAATTTTTTATCGAGTGAAGTCAAACTCACGACCTCCCGATCACGAAGCGAGCGCTCTACCAACTGATCTACCGTGTAGGGTTTTTCTTATACAAAAGCCGTGACCAAAATTAAAGATTTTGAAAAGTAAGTCAAACTTTAATATCAAGTAAACAAGGTCAAAAGCCATAGTGTATTTAAAAATGTCTTGCCAAAGACAATACACAGATTTAGTATGAAAGCCCCGTCTCTTTTTATTCAAAAGTTTTGACCAAGGTTAACATTTTTGAAAAGTAGATCAAACTTCAAGGTCAAAGTCACGAGGTAAAAAATTACGAAGTTTTTATGAAGGTCTATCAAGGTAATACGAGGGGCTATGAAAAAGTTTGTGGACCAGCGCCATAAAATTAAAACCGCTTTAGGTACATCAATGAATTTTGAAATATTAAGCTACCATTATCTGTTCTATGTATAGAATAAACCACAAATCATCATTTTTATTTTTATTAAAATACATTAGTAAAGTTTTTGTAAACAATGGTGGCGCAACCTCGAAAACGACGTTTGTGTAACTAAGATAAACTATTTTGATATAAACATTTGACATCCAAATATCCCGTTAATTCAGGTAAGTATTGGGACACTATTTTTCCATAAAATATGGAATTTTTACTGGTATACACCTAGAATATGTTTACACTGGTTACGGAGAAATAATTTGCATCCAGATAACTTGTTTTTTAATGCCAAAATAGATACAGAGAGAAAAGGTATGTAAAGTTGCTGTAGATTTGTACATGTAGTCAAGGTTTGAAAAATCTATCACCTCAAATATTATGTTGATCATGTGTTTTAGTGTCTCAAACAAGCGAGGATCTCTCCCAGTGTATAAATCCTTTGCATTAATATACTGTAAGTCGTTTTAATTCCACGGTGTTAAAATTTCACGATATTTCAAAAAGTACTAATTGCGCTGGTTTTAATTTCATGCTGCAAGAAATTAATTCATAATTTCGTGTAAGCATTTAAATGCTTTAAAAACAAATAATAAAATTTACGATGGGTTTAATTTCGCGGAAAATTAATAAATCGGGAACATAGCGAAATTAAAACTATCGTGAATATTTGCCAATCTACAGTATATGCATCGAAAGTCGCTGTTCATGAGATTGTTTAGTCATAAAAAAAGACGGGTTAAAGTCCTTACTCAGCTCTAGGGAATCTCATCAAAATAAGTGTACGAGTAGAAGAAGCGGACATTGAAAAGTAATGACGTTGTTGGATGTCATGAAACGACAACATATATATAGTACAACATATATATAGTACTAATTTTATAGCCTCAGTCCACGAACTTTTTCATAACCCGCCGTACATGTTTTCATATGAAAGCCCTATTTCTTTAGATTCAAATGTTGTGGCCAATTCAAAGTAAATGTTTAAATGTTTGAAAAGGATGTCAAATTTCAAGGTGAAGGAGCAAAATTCGTATTGTATTTGAAAGGTCGTGCCACAGGTTTTATAGATATGTGATATGAAAGCCCTTTCTCTTTTCATTCAAAAAATATGAGCAAGGCTAAGAACTACAGAGCTACAGTCTTGCAAACTGACAGACGGACAGACGAATGAGATTTAAGGTACCATCGCTTTCGCAAAAGAGGGGGACAATAAACAAAATGAAATGTTTTACTCACTGCTACCGATGATTTGTAGAGTAAGATTTGCAAGGAAGTTATTTTT